CTTTACCTCTTCTCTGGTAATTCCGACTCACTCTTCATTCTCCAACGCAAATACCTCCACCCTCACCCAAATAACCTTCAAGGCGATGAATGCGAGACTAAATCATGAAAAACATGCTGTACATAAAAATATCAAAGTGGCAGCGAAAATAAGGTCCACAAACTTATTACCCTTCACCGGTTAAAATGCAGTCGAGTTTGCATGTCAGTGTTAAATCGATGCGCCAACTCCAAAACATGCAAGAATGGGGTAGCTTTCTCCATTCGACCGCTGCTCTCCATAGCCTCTGCAAGCATTGTTCGTAGAAAGGCAACCCGAGTCGAAAACTCACCAGCCAACTGACTTTCAGTAACGTCAGGCAACTGGAAATGAAGACACAGTTCGAAGAGGCCTCTCAGCGCTCTATTCAAGATCTGTTGGGACGCGCAATCCTCCAGTAGACACAGTTGGGAAATTCGTCTAAGGTATTGTGTAAAATTGGTCATAAGAGTATCCAAGCTGCAGTGATCCTGTGGTTGTATCAACTCCCGTATGAACTTTACATGGACCGCCTCGATGTTGTCCGAGATGAAGGCATGGAGGCCGTTTATCACGAAGAGGAAGCGGGAGCGCAGAATGTTCAGTTTGTGAGTCGATGCGGTTTGAGTCCATCTTGCCCTGTCCAGGGTCCATTTCGCATGTTTTAGCTGTAATAACGAAATTATTTGTAATTTTTACTAATGATAAAATATTAATAACACCTGCACCGTTCTTCCGAGACGTGTACAGAACTTTAAATAAACCAGATGCAATGTAAGTCTTTTCATGCCATTTTGTTTGTATTATAGCATTAAAAATCTTTTGCACCGCGGAGGACAAGATTTCCAATTCTGAAACAAGATGTTTCACAGTTCTTTCAACCAAAAAACATGAAGTGATGATTCAGACATCTAAACCAGGATTATTGTAAAATTTTAGGTGCACACGAGATTCTAAAACTTGCCAGCTAGCATCTTTACCGTTTATCAGAATCGAGCACAATAAACTACATGTCCTTCATCGATTCCACGCTTCAAGACTACTTTTACTGAGGCTGGCTCAAATGATTTCAGAATTGAGCACATATTGAGGCTTGTCGGAAGTTGGCACTCATTCACGCGGCTCATCTCACTCAAACTTAGCCCCCACTTTGGGCTGATTCCCATGAAATGAAGCAAGCCAACTTATTGCTTATTCAAGACGACTTGATGAAAAGCCACAAGTCACCAACTGTTCAATGCACCGATAGGTATACCTTAGTGGCAAATGATAGGCATTAAGACTAATGGAACCGAATGCCCAAATAATCTTTTAGAGGTACCACTACCTTTCAATTAAATGAACATGATCGCAACAAAATAGGAATGAATTTCCGTACCGCAAGAAGAAAGTTGAAGACCTGCTGATAAACTCTAAGATTCTTTTCCGTCAAAACAATGTTCAACGGCCAAGGAACATCGATCTGTAGCCTCAATACAATTGTTCTTTCTAGTAATATGCTATCCTCAGTAGCATCACTTTTATTAACAATTCCAATACGAAGCTGCTTGTGAACCCATGACCTTTCATCGCAAACCAAAGTTAGTTGTTCTTTCAGTAGGTTGTCAACTTCAGCCTCCGTTTGTTTAGCAGGACGAAGCAGAAACAGTGACTGACAGAATGCATTCATCCGATCTCCATTGCGAAAGAAAGCCACATCAGCCAAAAAAGCTAAGAAATGAGGCAAATGGAAACCATCGCTCACTAAATCGTCCTTAAGCTCGCCAGTCAGAACCGAGGGTCCCTTCAAGAAAAAGGAGCAGAGCTGAGAAGAAATTCCCTTTGACAGCCGCTGCATACTCTCAATGAGGTGTCGTATAGTACAACTTGGAGACTTTTCCCGTTTCCTTAGTACCGGCAAAAGCAGATTATTACTAGGCTCCCTCAGTGAAATTAAGTGCATCAGCTTGGCCAGCTCATGTAGCTCGGGATCATCGAGGGGATCAAGCTCGGGCGGAGAATCCATCCCAACATTAGCGCGTCGTATATTGAGAGGAGTCGTAGGTTTGTAAATTCCTACTATCCTCGGGATTCCAAAAGTGGATGCAATGGCTTGGAGAAGGGTTTGTGACTTTACACCAACAAAAATGTCGTTTATTATTGGAAGGAGAACGTTTGGTACGCTATTTGCGATCAATGTAATGCCTAGTTCCCAAAACATAGGATGCATCGGAGAAAAGTCGAGGTTGCGTCGAAGAAAGGGGGCGGTAAAACGACAGTTGCCTGATTTACTCAGTAGATCGGAGAAGTACGCTTCAGTCACAGAGATATAGGCATCGTTGATAAGATCGACAAGATAAGGGTCAGAGTGACTACAAGAAAGCGTGCTGGAGAGCTCTCCCAGTCGATTCAATAGAAGGATTGAGGTCGCGTCTGACATAATAGTAGTTAAATTGGGAGAGCAAACCTGAAGAACAAGAGCTGAAATAAAGGAAAGACGCCGGAACCATGGTTGTAGTCTATCAAACAGACTAACTAGGGTTAAAGGGGATGTGCTTGGCATCTTTGCGGCTTCTTCTAGCGAAGCAATAATTCGATGAGTGTCCTGCGTTAAGCGCGCACATGATTCTGCCAGTCGAGTGAAGGGGAGTGATGCAGTACCAGATACTGTAAGGACGAAATCAGTAAAAGCTCGAAGCTGAAGAACACATGTGCAGTACTTGGCAATTTCAACACAAAAGGCGTCAAGAGCACCGTACGTGAGGTGGGTGAGACAGGCAGGTTTTCGGACGTACAAACACATATTCCTGACGAGAAACTCACAATCAGTGCAATAAGAAAAGAGGAAACCCTTACCAGCCCCCAGTAGTGTCCAAAGGCATTCACGTACGACTTGATACTCCGATAACTCAATACGCGACTCCCTCTGCTCGTTGCCTGAGGCAGAGAGCCAAGTATTTTTAAAGTTACTATTTGCATCAGAACCAGTCTTGACATTTGTTTCTCGCACCCACCAATACTCAGTTTGCACTTGTTTACGTAGGGAGAATTCGTCGAAATCCTCCAGTTCTAAGGTGGTAGGTAGTGCAAGCGGCAGACTACTCCATGAGCAAGGAAAAGTAACGACAGCAAAATCGAGTGACGCCACTGCACCGGTGCCTGACATATCACTCATAATAGACTCACCTACAAAATAGATAATCAAGAGTATTTCATGGTCACAACCCAACGACCAAGTAATGGAAACAGATGGAGTTTGCCCGAATTCTACTATAAATAAAAGGGTGTAAACTTTACGCAGAGATCAGTATTAGTGTAAAAATTATCATCCGACTTATTTAGCTTAATGCGTTACAGCTACCTCTGATAAAGGCATGGAATAGAGTTCAGGCTAGTCATGCCAGCTCGCTATAAAGAAGGCAAACTCACGACTAAGATTGTTAGCAGATTCATGTGATTGTAAAACTAAAGTGATTCAGATTTTATACATAATTATCCAACAGACATAGCCCAACGGAGTCAAACTACGCGGGCATGCTCGACTACATAGGGAGTTTGGTAAAACATTCGTTCACCATTTATTTTAAAATAAGCATTTAACAGCATGCCCATATATAATTTTGCCATCTAAAAAGGTATTAATGTTGAAAACCAAATGCCCCTAAGGTTCAGGCTAAAAAACCGCAATATAATTCACTGTGCAACTCCAAACTTGCAAACAGTTCCATTTTAAGTTCTACTGGCTTACCCAAATATTACTGGTTCTGTAATGCCTGCTCTCGTGGCTGCTTAAGCTGTGTGCCTCATTTTTTACCGTTTAAAGGACCCGTTGGTTTCCCCATGAAGCGTCGTAATGGCGGGTCAAGTTATTTCTAAGCGCTTGTAGTATGAAGTAAAAACTCCTAAAGAACTCTAGTTTCTTCAAAGTATTAAATCTTCAACCTCATCACATCCATTAGTGCTGGCATTTTTAAGTCAAGTTTTTCTGAAATGTAGTTTTTCCTTTTTATGCGCATGCAAGTTTTGATGCCTTGGAGAATCAAAGGTTTTGTTGAATAGGGCATCTTCGAGCCATGCAGTATACAATGTTTTGCATAATGGTAGCACCTACAGAGTATCAAGTTAAGCTTCCTTCTCTGGAAGTTGATTATGCCCTCTCTGCCAAAGGGTTCGTTTAGCCCCTCAACTTTTCGGCTTAAATGGTTAGCATTACGTCAAATGAAGATTTCAAGCTAGTTCGTCTTATTCGCCTGCAAACGTTTCGTATACATTGTGATTTTTGCGGAACCGTTTATTCAGGAATGTTAGGTTTAAGTACATTTATGCCAGTCATTTTAAACCGGTACCATTTAATTCTGCTTAGTGTCCTGTTTGGCTTGACCTCAGCTGTTTGCACCATGGGGTCCAACGCGTCTGGAAAGAGTGACAAAGTCGGAATTAACGAAATCTTCCTATAAATTATTCCACTTATTTCGTGATTTGAATAAGTGTTGGCAAATCTTCATGCACATAGCAATTCCGTCCCCATTGGGACGGTTTGGTTCGATAGCCCCATTGCTATACTCAGAATATGCCTTCGTTGTTCGCTTGTATTTTTGTCATTGATGAATCGTTAGCATGATCCAGGTCATTGGTGTAGAGGCTGAAATTTTGAGTATTTTGAGTGCTCCTACGCTCGTAAATATATACGGCAGTTGGTGGTTAATGATTGATGTAAGACCTTCCAAAGTTTTGAGAGCTTTCTAAGGCTTACTTGCAGTCATACAGTGTTTATCTGCTGTTGGCATTTGGATGGCTGATGGTACGTGCTCAGAAAGCCTAGAGAAAGTAGAATGATGCCCCAGCACAGTTTTTCACAACTTGATGTGGTCTGAACTTAAAACTTGTTGACTTCTCTCAATTGATGTCAAGAAACATGCTTTTGAAGGGAGCAAACTCGAGTACATGGTCGAAAGTGGGGTTTTCTTCAAGTGTTGCTAGGGCTGATCCTTTTTTGCTTCGTACATTATAAGTCAGCCTGCACAAATAATTGTATTTTTTTACTAGAAAAGTAGTCTTCCCATTGGATCTACCAATCAATTGTCCTTCCAATTCAAATTTTCTATTAGGATGCAGTTTTGACCTTCATTTGAGCAAATCGGTTCAGACACTTTGGAAAGGTCTGGCACCGGCTCTCTTGCACAA